GCATCTTGACTGGCTGCATCACAGCTTGGTATGGCAACTGCTTGGCATCTGATCACAAAGCGCTCCAGGGGGTAGTAGTGCGTACGGCCCAGTACATCACTGGGGCCAAGCTCCCTGCCATCCAGGACCTCTATACCAGGTGGTGTCAGAGGAAGTCCCTAAAAATTGTCAAAGATTCCAGCCACCCAATTCATAGACTGTTCTCTCTGCTACCGCACGGCAAGCAGTACCGATGCACCAAGTCTGGAACCAGCAGGACCCTGAACAGCTTCTACCCCAAGCTATAAGATTGCTAAATAGTTAGTTAAATAATTTACCAATAGCTACCCGGAATATCTGCATTTACCCTTTTTGCACTCTTTTGACTCATCACATACGCTGCTGCTACTGTTTATTATCTATCCCTTTGCTTAGTCTCTTTATCCCTACCTAGATACTGGAAGTACATATCTCAATTACCTCGTACCCCTGCACATTGACTCGGTACTGGTAATCTGTGTATATAGCCAAGTTATCGTTACTCATTGTGTATTTATTCCTTGTTTTATTATCTTTCTATTTAAAGAATGTCTCTCTGCATTGTTTGGAAGTAAGTAAGCATTTCACTGTTAGCATCAGTATTTTTAAGCCTTGAGACAATTGAGACATGGATTGTGTATGTGTGCCATTCAGAGGGTGAATGAGCAAGACAAAAGATTTGTGCCTGTGAACCGTGTATGGTAGTAGGATGCCAGGCACACCGGTTTGAGTGTGTCAAGAACGGCAATGTTGCTGGGTTTATGCATTATAAAGAATTGTTCCTATTTTATACATGTGTGTTTATTCAAGTGTGTGTGTGTGTGTGCGCGTGGCATAGTTTCTATGTTGCAGCCAGTGTAGAGCACAGAGTTCTCCGCTCTGCTCTGCTCGTCTGGCTAGAGGCTGTCTGGACTGGAGAGACCCCCGCTTCCAGGGTGGGGACCTCGGCATGGCCTCTGATTGGCTCTAAGGCGAAGGCAGAGGTCAAAGAAATATGGGGCGGTACACACACCTAAGACTCTGAGCAGGTTCATTCAAGTTCCTCTCTGGGATTCCACCTGAAGAACAGCACTCATTTTCAAATAAATTATATAATGTTATAATGGCAGATTTAGTTTGAAGATGTTATTCTGTGACATTGTGCTGACTATTGGTTCTAAATAAGAGAAATGGGGTCACAGAGTTCACAGAAGTGCATGCAGTTCACAGAATGTCCCTAACGTAAAGGTTACTATGCATGTGTGCGGTTCATTTCTCCCTATAACATATAGCAGGGTTCCCCAACTGGCGGCCCACGGGCCAAATCTGGCCCACAGGTGATTTTATTTGGCCCCCCAATGTTTTCTGAGCGAATTATTATTTTTTCATTGTTGGACATAAAAGACTGTCAAAACATCAGGAAATCAGCTCCAAGTGATTTTAATTTAGGAAATCTGTTCCCAAGTATTCCAAGGCATAATAGAGAGACGTGATCATATCCCAACGTAATCAAGGTTTGAAATGACTGTTTTAGTCAAATATATCTGTTTGGGCTTCTTGGGGTCAATTTCCAGTGTATGGATTATTTGTAATTATGTTCCGCCCCCCCCCCAACCATCCGTTCCAGAAAAAAATCGTCCCACGGCTAAATGTGTTTGGGGACCTCTGACATATAGGTTACTATGCATGTGTGTGAGTCTCAGGAATGTCTGGGAAGGAATGTACTCACCTATTTCAGACCCATCACTTCTCAGCCTCAACAGGCAAGTCTTGTTCTTGAGAGAGAGGGTCAGAGACTAAATGGAAGAAAATAGTAGGAAGTAAAAAGAAGTGGGTCTGAGCTGCTTCTTAATACTGATACAAGCTTCTCTCAAGGTTTCAAGAGTCCCAAAAAGGAAGATATACCCAAATGAAAATAATGTGTTGAATGAATGTCCATCATGTTTAACTATGTTAGTTATGGTGCAAATCCAGTAGAAATGTGGTAGATACAGTTGAAGTCGGAAGTTTACATACACCTTAGCCAAATACATTTAAACTCAGTTTTTCACAATTCCTGACATTTATTCCTAGTAAAGATTCCCTGTCTTAGGTCAGTTAGGATCACCAGTTTATTTTAAGAATGTGAAATGTCAGAATAATAGTAGAGAATTATTTCTTTCAGCTTTTTTCTTTCAGTGGGTCAGAAGTTTACATACACTCAATTAGTATTTGGTAGCATTGCCTTTAAATTGTTTAACTTGGGTCAAACGTTTTGGGTAGCCTTCCACAAGCTTCCCAAAATAAGTTGGGTCAATTTTGGCCCATTCCTCCTGACAGAGCTGGTGTAACTGAGACAGGTTGGTCGGCCTCTTTGCTCGCACACGCTTTTTCAGTTCTGCCCACAAATGTTCTATAGGATTGAGGTCAGGGCTTTGTGATGGCCACTCCAATACCTTGACTTTGTTGTCCTTAAGCCATTTTGCCACAACTTTGTATGCTTGGGGTCATTGTCCATTTGGAAGACCCATTTGCGACCAAGCTTTAACATGTCTTGAGATGTTGCTTCAATATATCCACATAATTTTCCTTCCTCATGATGCCATCTATTTTGTGAAGTGCACCAGTCCCTCCTGCAGCAAAGCACCCCCACAGCATGACACTGCCACCCCTATGCTTCACGGTTGTGATGGTGTTCTTTGGCTTGCAAGCAGCCCCCTTTTTCCTCCAAACATAACGATGGTCATTATGGCCAAACAGTTCTATTTTTGTTTCATCAGACCAGAGGACATTTCTCTAAAAAGTACGATCTTTGTCCCCATGTGCAGTTGCAAACCGTAGTCTGACTTTTTTATGGCGGTTTTGGAGCAGTGGCTTCTTCCTTGCTGAGGGGCCTTTCAGGTTATGTCGATATAGGACTTGTTTTACTGTGGATATAGATAATTTTGTACCTGTTTCCTCCAGCATCTTCACAAGGTCCTTTGCTGTTCTGGGATTAATTTGCACTTTTCGCATCAAAGTACGTTAATCTCTAGGAGACAGAACGCGTCTCCTTCCTGAGCGGTATGACAGCTGCGTGGTCCCATGGTGTTTATACTTGCGTACTATTGTTTGTACAGATGAACGTGGTACCTTCAGGCATTTGGAAATTGCTCCCAAGGATGAACCAGACTTGTAGAGGTCTACAATTCTTTTTCTAAGGTCTTGGCTGATTTCTTTTGAGTTTCCCATGATGTCAACCAATAAGGCACTGAGTTTGAAGGTAGGCCTTGAAATACATCCACAGGTACATCTCCAATTGACTCAAATGATGTCAATTAGCCTATCAGAAGCTTCTAAAGCCAAGACATAATTTTCTGGAATTTTCCAAGCACAGTAAACTTAGTGTATGTAAACTTCTGACCCACTGGAATTGTGATACAGTGAGTTATAAGTGAAATAATCTGTCTGTAAACGATTGTTGGAAAAATTACTTGTGTCATGCACAAAGTAGATGTCCTAACCGACTTGCCAAAACGATAGTTTGTTAACAAGAAATGTGTGGAGTGGTTGAAAAACGAGTTTTAAATGACTCCAACCTAAAAGTGTATGTAAACTTCCGACTTCAACTGTAGCTGTGAACAAAGTACACAATCATGTGAATGTGATCGTGGGAACAGCAAACAGGTGTTGGTAAAACGCACTTTAAAGTACTACTTAAGTAGTTTTATGGGGTATCTGTATTTTTTATATTTTGACAACTTTTACTTCACTACATTCCTAAAGAAAATGTACTTTTTACTCCATACATTTTTCCTGACACCAAAAGTACTCATCACATTTTGAATGCTAAGCAGGACAGGAAAATGGTCAATTTTACACACTTATCAAGAGAACATCCCTACTGCCTCTGATCTGGCAGACTCACTAAACACAAATGCTTTGTTTGGAAATGATGTCTGAGTGTTGGAGTGTGCCCTTGGCTATCCGTAAATTTAAAATAAAATATTTGAAATGATTTTCTTTTGATACTCAAGTATATTTAAAACCAAAGACTTTTACTCAAGTAAAATTTTTACTGGGTGACTTTCACTTCATTCATTTTCGATTAAGGCAGCTTTACTTTGACTCAAATATGACAATTGGGTACTTTTTCCACCACTGCTCATTTCAGAGTTACTAACTATACTTATTCATACACTGCCTAAAAACGATCTTTGTCTGCCCTCTTGTGGTGCTTTCATGCATCTTCAAAATATCAGTGCATTTTCATAAACACATTTTCAATAAAAATGGAAAAAGTTGATTTTTATTCATGTATAAAGTTAGTTACATCATTGTCACATCCATTTTTTTTTACAGTTTTGGCACCGACAAAGCTTCTGCCAAATGTGCTACTTTTGAAAAACATTTGTTCTTCAAAGTCACTTGACATCAAGGTACAGTATAGTAATTTATTTGACAAAGAGGGAATTTCACTACCATTAAGACATTGCACTTGGGTTTAATATTGTGCATTCAAAAAGCACAATATAATGCTAGAAATAAATTAGGAAAACTGTAAATAAGACTTGTACAAATAATGGAATTTGTACACATAAAAAAAGATAATCCATCAACACAAACCAATATAGATGAGCGCAGTCAGAATGTAACTTGATTGTCGTGGCAATTGACACCATCAATGATGTCAGGAGAATATGGATTGCAGGCTTCTCTCTGGACTGTTGACCTTGTAAGACTACCACGAGTTCAGGCCTAGAGAGAGAGACACTGCTCCTAACATATTACCACTACTATAGGATCCTTACGATGTGTAAGTGCTCACAGTTCAACTTGTATGTAGTTACTTTACTAAAATAAAGAAAACATTTACTATGATTGTTCTCACAATACACAGAATAAGTAGAATGTGATATAAAAAGAGAATGTTTCCTCCAGTATTTCTGTTTTCTGATGCCTTGGGAATAGATGTACAGTGAGGGTCACTCACCCTGGCCTTGGAGTGTTCTGCGGTGCACAATAGCAGTGTTGGGGTCAATCCCTATTGAAGGCAGTCAATTCAGGAAGTGATATAAACTGTGTGAATCAGGCACTAATAAATATGGTTTAACTACAGCTCATCTTTATATGACGTCTGCAGCATGTGGGGTTGGGGAGCCCCCTTCAGGGTTTTGTGGGAGCCCCTCCAGTCCGTTCGTACGTTGTCGTCGTCCCACAGCGTGGAGGTCTCTGTGTCGCTCACCCACTTGGGGTCCCCAGCGTATTGGGCTGGGTGCACCAGTAGGGGGTGTGTTGAGAACGCCTGCAGGTTACGGTTAGGGAAGTGGGACTTGTAGTTCTCACTGTTGAGAAACAGGACGGAGGTCAGAGATACATTGGTCACAGGATGATAACAACATTATCACATCTGATGTTAGAACTTCCACTAAGGAGATAAAATAAAAACTAGCCAGTCCATAACTGTGTGTACATAGCTTGAGAGCATGTAAATATCCATAACAGGGCCACACTTCATCATACAGTTCAGTGGAGGCTGCTCAGGGGAGGACGGCTCATAGTAATGGACGGAACGGAATTAATGGAATCAAACGCGTGGTTTCCATGTGTTTGATAACATTCCATTGACTCCATTCCAGCCATTATGAGCCGTCCTCCCCTGAGCAGCCTCCACTGATACAGTGTTACGGTGGGCAACAATACACTGCTAAAATGTAATCCTATGAAAGGTAACAGTTTTAAAATGTACTGGTAATTTCTAAACATTGAGAGATTAATAGTTAATAATGAAATCACATTAAATATTGTGGAAACAAGGTTATAATACAAGTACTTGGAATACGTTTCTGTGGGAATGGCAACTCTTAGAAAGAATCAGTTAGTCAGAAGGCCCAGATTCAACCCCATGTGTTATTTTCAGGACAAGTCAAGCATATCGAAGCAGAACCACACAGGGAAGAGGATGGGAAGGGGAAGGAGGACTAGGGATGATGACAGCTGGCCAGGTTTCCATACATGACGGAACACTAAGGCATTCTCAACAGAACGCCAAGGCATTCTAACAGCTTTCTGGATGCATGCCTGGCTCCCATTGGCTCAGAGGCTCTGGGTTCTATTAGCTTGGTCTGGCAGACACATGACATGCAGCAAGAGAGAGACAGGGAGTCGACCAGATGACACTGGAACGCTAGAACAAGCCAAGTCAGTCTGCAGAAGGAGACGAACACCAAAATGAAGCAAAATACAAAGCAGTTTGACTTCTTGACTTAACTAAAATGAGAGTGCGTTTCAGAATGAGGGAAAATTTTAATTGTGGCAAGCTATTTTAGAAAGCAGGCTTGGGCCTCTTGGATGAGAGGAGTGGTAGTTGAGCCAAGAATGTGGTCACAGGAAGGTGAACATCAATAAGAGGCTATAGACGTGAAACCACAGGCTGGTGATTTTAACAGTGGTTCTCAATCTATGTCCACTCCAAAGCTACATTTATGCACAACGTTTATCCAAAACTGCAGCTAATTAGGATTTGTTGCTATAGCTTTGGCAGTTCAATGCTGGCAAAGGGTCAGAGCAAGCTACACAAGATACAATGCAATTTTGAGTGGCACAAAGCAGAGTTTCCTGACAGCTTTGTAGCACTAAAATAATCTTAAGTTCCATTGGCAATGGATGAAGGATGTTCCTAGTCAAACTAATCTTTCAGGAAAGATTTGTTTCACCAGTTCTCTCCCTTACGGAGCATTGTTGTTAAACTTACATACCAACTGGGTTTGAACCTGTGTCTCCTGCACATCACAAACCTGTCTTAACCCATTGAGCTAAAGTCTAGGCCAGGGGTATTCAACTCTTACCCTACAAGGTCCGAAGCCTACTGGTTTTCTGTTCTACCTGATAATTAAAATTGCACCCACCTGGTGTCCCAGGTCTACATCAGTCCCCGATTAGAGGGGAACAATGAACAAAAGCAGTGGAACTGGCTTTCAGGTCTAGAGTTGAGTTAGAGGGGTCTAGGCATTAGCTCAGGGCGAGCTAACATAATTCTTCAAGTTTCAGTTCCACCTACTTGGTGTGTTTGGTCTCAGTGATCTGAGAACGACTTGAGAATGTCTAAATAAATACATCAACAAATAGATTTTAAAAAACAGTTGTGGTACTTACTTGGTGTGTTTGTCATACATGATGGGTAGGAACTCATCAACGGGCAGCATCTTGGAGAGGGGTTCAGCGTTGAGCAGCTTCTGGGCGCCCTGGAGAGAGATGGCATAGGACAGGGTCCAGTAGGAATAGTCTGCCATCACCAGGTTCCTCACGTTCTCCACCACCTCCTCATCACCTGGCTTCACCTGCTTACGGCCCAGGTAACTGTGGACAAAGGACAGACAGGGTTAATCAGAGTAGTGGACAGGGGAGGGAGAGAGACAGGGTTAGTTAGTCAGTAGTGGACAGAGACAGGGTTAGTTAGTCAGAGGACAACACCGTTCTCCACCATCTCGTCACCTGGCTTCACCTGCCTACGGCCCAGGTAACTGGGATGGAGAGAGACATTCAGCTGGAGGACCACACTGTAGTCCTATTGGTAATTTAGTCAGCAACAGGAGAGCACATCAGACTAGCGAAATGACATATGGCAATGCGGGTAGGTGGCAGTCGCGTGGTCGCCAGGGTGACTCACATGATGTCCCAGTCCAGTTCCACCAGCTCCACCTCCTTCATCAGACGCAGCACGCGCCGCTTGAAGTTGGCCTGGAAACGCACGTCATCCTCAAAGATCAGCGCCTTGTCCATCTGCTGGTCTACCATCTGAGAGAGGGTGGGGGGGGGGGAGAAGTGTGTGAGCGAGAGTGAGAGAACAACTAGTTTAAATAAGCTCTAATGACAGACCTGAAGGAGTCAATTAGGCTCCTACTAACATGACCTCCAGGTCCCATGTCCCAAGGTGTGTGTGATCCTCACCTCCTTCCAGATGTAGTAGTGACTCAGGAAGCATCCCACCTCTCCTTTGGTCAGGGTACGACGAGAGAACGGGTCATAGTAACCAGGTAGTATGTCCACTCCCAGGATCTTTATATCACTGCTGTTCAGAGCTCTGCAGGACACAACACAGTCTCCAGCTTTCTCTTATGCAAACTCTCTAAATCTCCCTCAGCGCCATATCTATGCCAAGCTTTGAATGCTCACCTAGCCTGGATATCCAGACTGAATTCAACTCTGTTTAGTGAAATGTAGCATGATTGAGTCAGGATTCCCAGGCTAAATTCTCACCCTCCATCTATGGCGTCCACCACCTTGACGTCTATCTCCAGCTCGTTGAGAGAGTACAGCATCCGGTCTCTACGGTCCTGACGACGACGCAGGTTGATCAGGTACACCTACAGCACGGGACAGCCAGGTTCAGAGGTCAACTCAGAGACACAATGATCCATAGAGTGAGTGAGTGTTTGTATTATTCAGAGGGGTTGGGGAAAAAAGCAGAAAATAATCCATCCTGTATGAACTAATACAGTATATCTTATCTTAGAGTGTGAGAGATCATAATACCATTATAAACTGGGTGGTTTGAGCTCTGAATGCTGATTGGCTGACAGCCGTGGTATGGTATATCAGACCGTATACCACACCCCCTCGGGCCTCATCTATGCATAGTCACTTTACCCCTACCTACATGTACAAATTACCTCAACTAACCTGTACCCCCGCACATTGACTCGGTACCCCTGTATACAGCCGCGTTGTTATTTTATTGAGTTACTTTTTATTTAATTTTATACTTTAGTTTATTTATTAAATATTTTCTTAACTCCATTTCATGAACTGCATTGTTGGTTAAAGGCTTGTACGTAAGCATTTCACGGTAAGATCTACACCTGTTGTATTCGTCGCATGTGACAAATAACATTTGATTTGATTTAATTAGCCTACAGCAGTGTTCCCAAGCCACTTCTACTTATTTGATCTAGTCTAGTATGTGATGAGGAGTTTGGGCTCCTGGCCTCTGTCTCACCTCATCAAAGCCCATGAGGTCTCTCTGTTTGGGGAAGAGGCTCACGTATTTGGAGGGGGCCATGGGGGGACCCTCGACTGGGGGAAGAACAGAGACGTGTTATTATACATCTATTACTGTGACAGACACCTACTCTTAAATAACTTTATAATAATGTAAAAAAAAAAAAAAAAAGATGAAATAAGGTTTTACTCGTGGCCTCCAGGACGAGATGGCTGAAGCTGATGCTGTCATCCTCTATGGTGTGGTGAGGCTTGGCTGGGACGTTCAGGTAACCATACCTCACCTTGTTGCACAGGTACATCTGCACCTCTGGAAACACACAGAAGAGTCAACTCTGTCATCTAACAGTCGACATGGCCTTGACGTGCCAGCAACATGTGAATGTAATCATCTAGCCTTTTACTTTGAACACATTGATTTCACCCCTGCAGCAGTCAGGGACGTGGAGGTTTCGATTACACGTTGTGAATGTGTGTGTGTGTGTGTGTGCATGACTAAATGTGTGTGTGTTATAATGTAGACCCCTACCTGAGACGCGGCAGGAGAAGGCAAAGACGATGATGTCATCGAAGGGCCAGGAGTAGTCCTGGTGAGGGGGGTGGAAGGCCAGCTTCTTCATGCCTGCCTTCCTCATGTCCAGCAGGAAGGTAGAGTGGACCATGGGCACTGGGTAGCAGCCCAGCCGGTGGCGCTGTCTGGTGGGGAAATACTCAGCTGTACGCCGGTAATAACCCTGGGAACAGACACACAGGGTACTGGAAATTAGCATAAGCTAAGGTGCAATGCATCTGACTGTTTGTACATTCAATGTTTGAACTGCATCGGTCCCCATGTACAGAGCATTCGGAAAGTATTCAGACCCCTTGACTTTTTCCACTTTGTGACATTACAGCCTTATTCTAAAATGGATTCAATTGTTTTTTAAACCTCAATCTACACACAATACCCCATAATGACAAAGCAAAAACAGGTTTTTAGACATTTTAGATTCAGACACTTTACTCAGTACTTTGTTGAAGCACCTTTGGCAGCGATAACAGCCTCGAGTCTTCATGGGTATGACGCTACAAGCTTGGCACACCTGTATTTGGGGAGTTTCTCCCATTCTTCTCTGCAGATCCTCTCAAGCTCTGTCAGGTTGGATAGGGAGTGTCGCTGCACAGCTATTTTCAGGTCTCTCCAGAGATGTTCGATCGGGTTCAAGTCCGGGCTCTGACTGGGCTACTCAAGGACATTCAGAGACTTGTCCCGAAGCCACTACTGCGTTGTCTTGGCTTTGTGCTTTTGGTTGTTGTCCTGTTGGAAGGTGAACCGTCGCCTCAATCGGAGGTCCTGAGCGCTCTGGAGCAGGTTTTCATCAAGGATCTCTGTGCTTTGCTCCGTTAAATCTTTCCCACGACCCTGACTAGTCACTCAGTCCCTGCCGCTGGAAAACATCCCCACAGCATGATGCTGCCACCACGCTTCACCGTAGGGATGGTGCCAGGTTTCCTCTAGACTTGACACTTGGCATTCAGGTCAAAGAGTTCAATCTTCAGAGTCCAAGCGGGCGGTCATCTGCCTTTTACTGAGTGGCTTTCATCTGGCCATTCTACCATAAAGTCCTGATTGGTGGAGTGCTGCAGAGATGGTTGTCCTTCTGGAAAGTTCTCCCATCTCCACAGAGGAACTCTGGAGCTCTGTCAGAGTGACCATTGGGCTCTTGGTCACCCCCCTGACCAAGGCCCTTCTCTCCAGATTGCTCAGTTTGGCCGGGCGGCCATCTCTAGGAAGAGTCTTGGTGGTTCCAAACTTCTTCCATTTAAGAATGGAGGCGGCCACTGTGTTCTTGGGGACCTTCAATGCTGCAGAAATGTTTTGATACCCTTCCCTAGATCTGTGCCTCGACACAATCCTGTCTCGGAGCTCTATGGACAATTCCTTCAACCTCATGGCTTGGTTTTTGCTTTGACATGCACTGTCAACTGTGGGACCTTATATAGACAGGTGTGTGCCTTTCCAAATCATGTCCAATCAACTGAATTTACCACAGCTGGACTCCAATCAAGTTGTAGAAACATGGATGATCAATGGAAACAGGATGCACCCGAGCTCAATTTCGAGTCTCATAGCAAAGTGTCTGAATACTTACAGTACCAGTCAAGTTTGGACACACCTACTCATTCAAGGGTTCTTCTTATTTTTACTTTTGTCTACATTGTAGAATAGTAGTGAAGACATCAAAACTATGACCTGGAATGTATTTCAGTTTACAGGTGTGCCTTCTTAAAAGTTATTTTGTGGAATTTCTTTCCTTCTTAATGCGTTTGAGCAAATCAGTTGTGTTGTGACAAGGTAGGGGTGGTATACAGAAGATAGGGCTATTTGGTAAAAGACCAAGTCGGTATTATGGCAAGAACAGCTCAAATAAGCAAAGAGAAACTACAGTCCATCATTACTTTAAGACATGAAGGTCAGTCAATCCGAAACACAAGCAATCGACATTAGACCGGTGGAAATCTGTCCTTCGGTCGGGAGTCCAAACTGGAGATTTTTGGTTCCAACCGCCGTGTCTTTGTGAGACGCAGTGTAGGTGAACGGATTATCTCCACATGTGTAGTTCCCACCGTGAAGCATGGAGGAGGTGTGATGGTGCTTTGCTGGTGACACGGTCTGTGATTTATTTAGAATTCAAGGACGCTTAACCAGCATGGCTACCACAGCATTCTGCAGTGATACGCCATCCCATCTGGTTTGGGCTTAGTGGGACTATCATTTGTTTTTCAACAGGACAATGACCCAACACACCTCCAGGCTGCGTAAGGGCCATTTCACCAAGAAGGAGAGTGATGGAGTGCTGCATTAGATGACCTGGCCTCCACAATCACCCGACCTCTAACCAATTGAGATGGTTTGGGATGAGTTGGACCACGGAGTGAAGGAAAAGCAACCAAAAAGTGCTCAGCACATGTGGGAACTCCTTCAAGACTGTTGGGAAAGCATTCCAGGTGAAGCTGGTTGAGAGAATGCCAACAGTGTGCAAAGCTGTCATCAAGGCAAAGGTTGCCTACTTTAAAGAGTAAAATATATTTTGATTTCTTTTAACACTTTTTTGGTTACTACATTATTCCATATGTGTTATTTCATAGTTTTGATGTCTTCACTATTATTCTACAATGTAGAAAATAGTAAAAATAAAGAAAAACCCTTGAATGAATAGGTGTGTCCAAACTTTTGACTGGTACTGTAAGTAAATAAGGTATTTGTTTTTTATACATTTGCAAAAATCTGTTTTGACTTTGTCATAATGGGGTATTGTGTGTAGATTGATGAGGGAAAAAAATGTATTTGATCCATTTTAGAATAAGGCTGTAACGTAACAAAATATGGAAAAGGGGAAGTTTTCTGAATACTTTTCGAATGCACCGTAAAACGAACGATTGAAATGAAAACAATATGGTCATTTATTGCACATTTCACACTATCGTGCCTACCAGAAACACACTGTGCTGCCTCAGACCGGTCTTACCTGGGGAGTGATGCCGCACCAGTAGTTGGAGTAGGCTCCCTGAGAGTCCAGCATGGGGGCCACAACAGACCTGTTCTCTGCTATCAGGAGGTTCAGAGTCTCTGGGTTGGTCAGGATGTTGTCTGTGTCAGCGTACTGGAGGAGACATGGTTGTAATAAAATGTGAGTCGGAGTCATTAGATATCTCTATCCATGGCTCTGGACGGAGTCATTAGATATCTCTATCCATGGCTCTGGACGGAGTCATTAGATATCTCTATCCATGGCTCTGGACGGAGTGTGTGATTGTTGTTGAGTGTTTAGTGGAGATCAGAGGCACAGCCAGAGATGACAGGGTGTGTTTAGTGAGGCGGTTGAAACTGAAAAAAAGAGAACTCCAGCATACTGATTTTTTGGTAACAACCACAGCAGGGTCACACTCAGTATGTGGGCAATGACATAAAGCTATAGTGCTACTTTTAGGTCTGAGGGCAGAGTAGATATGTGACTGTACCAGTATGTAGTCAGCCCAGCGTGTCTTGGCAAAGTTGAGAGCAGCCTGTTTAAGCTTCATCAGGTATTCATATCTGCCGTTGCTCCAGTATTTAGGCCCCATCTCCCCTGGGTAGGACCTGTAGAGCAATGGAGGGAGTCAGAACGAGACACATACCCACAGACAGACAGGCACACATACCCACAGACAGACAGGCACACACCCACAGACAGACAGGCACACACACCCACCCACCCACAGACAGACAGGCACACCCACAGACAGACAGGCACACACACCCACCCACAGACAGACAGGCACACGCACACACCCACAGACAGACAGGCACACCCACCCACAGACAGACAGGCACACCCACCCACAGACAGGCACACCCACAGACAGACAGGCACACACACACACCCACAGACAGGCACACACACACACAGACACAGACAGACAGGCACACACACACACACCCACAGAAAGACAGGCACACACACACACCCACAGACAGACAGGCACACACACCCACAGACAGACAGGCACACATACCCACAGACAGACAGGCACACACACCCACAGACAGACAGACAGGCACACCCACAGACAGGCACACCCACAGACAGACAGGCACACACACCCACAGACAGGCACACACACAGACAGACAGGCACACACACCCACAGACAGGCACACCCACACCCACAGACAGGCACTCACACCCACACAGACAGGCACACACAGACAGGCAGACAGGCACACACAGACAGGCAGACAGGCACACACAGACAGGCAGACAGGCACACACACACCCACACACAGACAGGCACACACCCACACAGACAGGCACACATACCCACAGACACAGGCAGAGGCATGCTACGGTCTCATTCCTGCATTGCTTTGAGGTACTTAGGGAGAGAAAGTGAGAGGTGCCCTCAGGTCAGGTAGTACTGTGTATCAGCATGCTCTGTAAACACCAAACATTTATTTGAGGCTCTCTTTTCTATTCACCCTCTGTTTTAAAGTTACATCCTGTAATATAATAATAATAATAATAATAATAATAATGATGGAGTCACAGCTGTAGGCTACTGCTGCTACTGTCAGGGTGTTCTAGAAAGCTAATGCAGAGTTTATACAAATGAGCTGATGTTCAAGGCTTAGACCCATGGTTTTGCGAGGTAATCAACTGTATCAACACAGACACGTACTAGTACACATACTTTTAGAAGAAACGTGATAATGCTGAACACATCTCAAACTTACGTAGGATGCTCCATAGGCCTCCATTCCACGTAGTGGTAAAACTTTTGCATGACTGTTAGCCATTCTCTCAGAACAGCTGTAGTGTTGTCAGCATTGTGATCTGTCGCTGCCCTGCGGACATGGGGATATAGACACACTGTTTGACACTAGAATGTAGTAGGTGTAACCAATGATCACTTGGTCTGCCTTACTTGCATGCAAGCACACCACAACTAGGAATTAAAGAATCTGCAAGACACTGCAAATCAGACAAACCAAAGTGGTCCCACATGTTACACATGCAACGGAGAAAAGCCATGCACATTGTTAACCCTACTGACAATATGATATTAAATATGCAGAGGAGAACCCTAATAAATAAGGACTCCCTATGAAATGCAGAACAGGAAATCACTAGTGGATTCCATGGAAATAAGCCTATTCTCTGTGCAAAGCACAGGGTTGCCCAACCCGGTTCCTGGAGAGCTACCCTCCTGTAGGTTTTCGCGCCAACCCCAGGTGTTACTAACCTGATTTATCTTATCAACCTGCTAATTATTAGAATCAGGCGTGCTAGATTAGGGTTGGAGCAAAAACCTACAGGACGGTAGCTCTCTGGGAACAGGGTTGGGCGGTCCTGCATTAGCCTAACATGCAGACTGTAGCATAAAGCAGGGTTTCCCAACCCGCTCCTTCACATTTTTGTTTTAACCCTAAACTGGCATACCTGATTCAATTAGGCAACTAATCATCAAGCCTTTGACTAATTGAATCAGGTGGGCCCATAGCCACGGGAAATAGGGTGCTGAGGGTGCTGTAGCCCCCCTGAAAAATCAGAATGTATATTTTGTTATAAATATAAATATATATAAATAACATGCACTGGGCCTTTACAAGTATTAGTGGACCAATATAGACATCTGTAGCGGGGAAAACCATTTTTTAAGCATCTCTACTTTGGCAAAAAGGTAGTTTTATAATTAAGAACAGAATCTTGCAGGATTCAATAGTTGAAATTGTAAGAGTTGTTGCCCTGTCCCTTTCTCTGCGATTCTCATTCTAATGGAATCCAGAAAGAACAAAACCCTGTCCTCAAACATTTACATCAGAAAGGTGCAAAGTTATGGGCAAAGACACAAAACATCCACATCAAATTAAATATTTTTCTTGATCAAATAACATGGAAAACAACCACTTTTTGTGCAGTATTAATTTACCATCCTTACAAATCACTGAATGTAAATGTGAGTTACTGTATTGTACATAGGCTGGTCATCTAGCTTTGTACCTGTAGACTTTCCATCGCCATGAAGAAAAACAATGCACAATACAGTAATTGAGTACATCGAGACATCATGTGGTTTGTGATGATGTGGCTCAATTGGTAGAGGATTACGCTTGCAATGCTAGGGTTGTGGGTTCGATTCCCACAGGGGACCAGTACAGTATGAACTCACTACTGTAAATTGCTCTGGATAAGAGAGTCTATGGAAAAATAAATGAATAGACCATTTCAGTTTCCACATAGAAATAAATTGCATTTGCAAAATATTTCAAGAAACTGGAAAACATATATCCAGCAAGGAAAGCCTGGTGTAAAGTACATGCTATTGTGAAAATCATCTAATTGCATTATGTAGTTCAATAGTGGCCTACAATTCAACTTAATAAACTCTGCATTGGAAGAAAAAAATTTAGAAAGCAAAGTTAGAGTAGCCTATAGCAGCAGAAGCGTTCTATTTTGTTGAGGGGTCGATGGTTCTAACGGGATTATGGGGATTGGGGACTGGGGAGGAGAGGGGTGGTATTCTTAATCTAATCCAAATGCGATTGATCGCCCACGAGTTTGACAAATAGCGGCCAGGGAAAGAGCACTGGCAGGATGTCTGCCACCTACCAAACAGAGATGCGTGCTTTGGGATAGTTCAGTCTCTCCAACGCTCCGAGGTAGTACGGCAAGGAATGCGCCGCGTTCCGAGCAATGATCGCAATAACAACCGTTGGCGGCTGCATTTTCGATTCTTCAGGATATTTCTCCTCCGAAAAGTAACATTCTGATCTAGAAACGAAGGCCCCTAAAACTAAAACCCAAATAAACATGGTGGATATATCAGTCCAAGCTACTGCACGTAGCTACAGCTCCCAGTCAGCGTCAGCACTAAGGAAAAGGGGATTTTCCTCAATTGTAACCCCCCAAGACGAGGCTCTTTCCTTGGCCAAATCCGACGAGTGTCTGTGGAAGGTTTTAAAATTACAACTTCCGCACCAAAAGCCCCGTGAGAAAGTTGTAACACCGGCGTGTTACAATGTAACTATTTGCTCATAGTAGGCTACTATTTGCGCTAATTTTAACAGGCTTTTAACGGAATTGATAACCTACTGCTGGTCTGCGTTTAAACATGTATAAAAAGTAGCCGTGGTGTATGAGCGATTAGTGTCATCCCAGTTTACCGACGGCGAGGTCTTTTGGACGATTTTTTCTGGTTCTATCAGGACCAGTCTACTTTTTTTGGTGCAGTCAGGACCAACCTTGATTTCAAGTACAAGGACATAGATTTTTGGTCCGGGCCAATCTTCAGTTGGCTCCTGTTTTCTATATTAAGAGGCTTGAAAAAGTACTTTTCAACGTCATTTTGCTTACTGGGATTCTAACAACCGCATTAAGGCTAGGGCTAAGGCTACTCAACACACAATGTTTGAATATGAAATATTTAACAACCAAATAGTGGCCCTAATCTAACACACACTTCTGATAGTCTGAGGGAGAAATTATGTTTACAAATTTAAAACAATATTTGTTTCCTACAATATCAACCTTTTGCCTGAAGAGGGAAGCATTGAGTTTACATTCCAAACTCATTTATTCAATGAACAGTTAGTTATTCAAGGGCAGGAAGAGAGACCAAGCAACACTGTGAAAGAGGGTATAATCAGGAAAGAAAACAGAGCCAGAGAGTGAAAGAAAGACAGATAGAAAGAAAGAAAGCAAGAAAGAGAAAGAGAGACTGGCATGGCACAGGTCAGAGGAGAAGAAGATAAGTAATATTATGACATCATCTAAACTGAATTGAGAAAGCTTTTGGAGGGCCTCAATTCAATCACTGAGCCAGCCACAGCACTTAGGGTGTTGGGGGGACAATGGTTGTTGCCTTGCTCTCTGGACAGGGGATCAAAAATGGTAAAGGGACCTCTATTCATGACACCCTGTCACAACCCCTGACCCCCCATGACCCTGCTGGCCACTTTCCCAGCACCCTCTGCAGCTGCAGGTCTGAGAGAGTTCAGTAACTTTTACTACTGGGTTAAAGGTTAGAGGTGAAGGGTCAGTGGCGTGGCGGGGTGTGCAGAGAGGGCCAACAGGTTCACAGCCGAGCTAGATGGAGACTTTGGAGAGAGACTAAATATTTATTCAGTGAATGGACACACACGTGACACATAGTGGGGGGGTCTGCCATCCAGGGGCCCCACTGATACATACCCCCTCACCCGGAAGCAGTCACTGTCTATCTATCTACCACCAATCTCCTTCTCTCTCTTTTGTTCCCCAAGTCACAATCCCTCCAGGGCCCCAGTCGTGACACTCTGAGAACCCTCCGGAACCTTCATTGCCGTGGCGATAATCAATAACCGCGTTCCCACACTGACGTCTCAGAGCTCGCTGGGTCAATAACTGTCACTCACACTCCCACGGTTGGCATTCTAACTCAGCAGCCTTTTAGCAGAGGCCAGGGTAGGTTGTGTGTGTGTGTGTGTGTGTGTGTGTGAGCAGAGGGTAGAAATGCTAATTTGTGTAGTTTCCCCCCCCCTCTGCTTGCTTGTTGTATTTGGAAGACATTTGGTTTTATTGGAGAACACAAACACCAGACACGTCCTAGTTTTTTTTCTCTCTCTCTCTCTCTCTCTCTCTCTCTCTCTCTCTCTCTCTCTCTCTCTCTCTCTCTCTCTCTCTCTCTCTCACACACACACACACACACACACACACACACACACACACACACACACACACTCACACACTCACACACTCACACACTCACACACACACACACACACACACAACAGCTTGCCCACTTCATGACCATAAAGATCCATCCTTACCTCCACAACAATGGAGGTCACTAAAGAGTTAATGGAGAAGATGCTTTACCACACCCAGGAGTCACAAACAAGACACACACACACACACACACACACACACACCTCAGGACAGCCTGGTCTCATAGACTAGACATAACATAGTAAACGTAATTCAGGGAAAATCAAATTAGTATGATATGTTACGTATGGTATGGTTACAGATGGTTAATTAAGGCAAAAATGAAAGTAGGGTGGTTGGTTGGTCGGTCGGTGTGGATGGGTGGGCGTATAAAGCGAACATCTAGCAACCCAAAGGTTGCGAGTTTGAATCTCATCACGGACAACTTTAGCATTTTAGCTAATTAGCAACTTTTCAACTATTTACTACTTTTTTGGCTAATTTGCAACTACTTAGCATGTTAGCTAACCCTAACCTTAATCATTTAGCCTAACACCTAAACTTAACCCTAACCCCTAGCCTAGCTCAAATTAGCCAGATAGCTAACGTTAGCCATATAGCTATAATTCGTTTTGCAAATACGTAACATATTGTACATTTAGAAAATTCACAACATATAATACGAATTGTAATTCGTAACATATCATACAAATGTGTGAAGGACATCGACAAATTAATACATACCATACGAAATGTAACATATCATACTAAATGGGTGCCTAGAATTTACGTAGAGAATAATACGAAATGCTCTGAGACCAGGTTGCTCAGGAGGGAGGAATCTGCAGTTGGAAGGAATGTTTGGGTGGCAGTATAGATAAATTGACTGGTGAGCAAAAGCTTGAAGGTTTATATCCCAAGTGGCCAATACTGCTGTTTGACTAAAGCACTTAAACAGAATTGCTTTAGTGAAAAATGACTCAAGCAAGCCCGGAGTCCGAGCCATGACACTTCTTGGTCAGCTTGAGGATGTATTCTCTCTGTAAGAATTATGAAATACTATTGTAGTATAATATGTTTTAACCAGAAAGGAAGCTCTTGCACTGTGTTTGCAAAGTCACATATCTATTGAATGCCTTTGTATAGGCTACACAAAGAAAAGTATTACAATGACTGTTTTATACAGATTCAGAATTGGATTTTATACTACCAAACAGCCCACGCCTGTATATTGCAAGATGTGAGTAGTGGTATTTCAGACATTTGAGGATTTAACTAGCTTTGATTGCATGGTCCTCATTAAAACACATGAACACCTGCACAAAACAAAGGCTGTTCCCATTGTTCATTGGTTTTCTTCAGACTTCACTGGTCAAACCCTTCAAGAGGAAGGTTGCAGGGTCCCTATAACCTTTACAGTTTATAAAGTTTTAATTTTATAAGGACACTGCAACCTTCCTCTTGAAGGGTTTGATTATCATACACAACCCACAACACACAGCTGGTTAGGAGGTTTTATGAACTCGCAATGGGGAATTCATTTGTCATACTGTACAGCAGCCATAATAAAACAATAGAAACAACCACTTTTTTTTTTTTTTTTACAATCAAGACAATTACAACAAATTCACCCGGAAACACCCATCTGGTTTTGGCTGCATTAGAGATAGATGAATGTTGAAAAAGGAAGACCTGGTTGGATGTCGCTCTGGATAAGAGCGTCTGCTAAATGATGTAAATGTAAATGTAAAATGTGGGTGAGAGGTTAAGGTGGCAGGGCTGGTTGAGGGTGAGGTTAAGGTTGAGGGACAGAGCAGGGGAAGCCCTGGTTGATTACAGTGGGAGGTGATTGTAATAGGAGATGGTTATATTGGGAGGTGGTTATAGTCTTATAGAGACTACCTCGTTCCTCCCTACAGGCTCTTTAACCACGTCCACTGCTGCTCCTGTCTGTCTCTCTCCCCGTTGCCAGGCAACTATGCTGCCACCATCAAAGAATTCCCAGAGATGTTTAGGCAGTGGCATGGTTGGGTGTGGGGGTACTGGGGGGGGGGGGGGGGGGTATTGGGGTTAGAGGACTGCAGGAAAGGTCCCCAACTATGGGTGTCTTTCAGAGCCTTTTAGTGCCCAGAGAGCAAAACGAAACCAAGACAATCTTGCAGTCAAACACTCACAATGTGTCCAAAGACACTTCAAATACGTGTCACGCTCACACATACAAGCTTACACAACATGTTTAGGACTCTGTTTGTCTGTTCAGCCATGTCTAACAGGGCCGATAAGGATTCCACCAACACAGCACTGCTATCCTTCTCCCCTATGGCCATAGCACTATAGCGACACATTGCACTAGCAATACATTGCGCTAGTGGCCGAGAAGGGTGCCACTACTAGTTACTACCAGCTCAGCAACAGAGCAGGGCAGTTTCAAACTGTTGTCTCCCCTATTTACATAGCACTAGCAGCACATTTACCTAGCAGCACATTTTCCTATCAGCACACTGCCCTAGCAGCACAACATTGCCCTAGCAGCACAACATTGCCCTAGCAGCACATTTTCCTAGCAGCACAACATTTTCCTAGCAGCACAACATTTCCCTAGCAGAACATTTCCCTAGCAGCACATTTTCCTAGCAGCACATTTTCCTAGCAGCACATTGCCCTAGCAGCAGGGTAGAGATGCCTTCATCTGAGGAGGCTTATTGGAGTATTCTTCTGATTCCTCTCCTCCATTGTTACCTTCCTCCCTCTCTAACTACTTCAGGGACGGGTTCAGGTACCACCCTGTGGCTTCAGGCACCCCCCCCCCCCCCTCCACTGCTCCCTTTAGCCAGTGAGTTAAACATTTATTTGTGAATGGAGAAGAGCACAGTGGCACTGAGGAAAGGAGCCCCCCCCCCCCAGTAGGGATTCTTTATATACAGTACCAGTAAAAAGTTTGGACACACCTACTCATTCAAGGGTTTTTCTTTATTTTTACTATTTTTTACATGGTAGAATAATAGTGAAGACATCAAAACTGTGAAATAACAAATATGGAATCATGTAGTAACCAGAAAAGTGTTCAACAAATCAAAATATATTTTATATTTGAGATTCTTAGAATAGCCACCCTTTTGCCTTGATGACAGCTTTGCACACTCTTGGCATTCTCTCAACCAGCTTCACCTGGAATGCTTTTCCAACAGTCTTGAAGGAGTTTTCTTTTCC